AGAAGCACTGCTAAGCCAAATGTTTGGAACGGATGCGGATGCAAGTGAGGATGGCATTGGCCTGTTGATCAGCAGAAAGTTGGTGAAGCTGATGAATGGAGAGGTACAGTACTTGAGGGAAGCAGGGAAGTCTACTTTCATTATAACTGTTGAACTTGCAGTAGCTCATAAATCTCGGGCCTAACGAAGTTTTCCAAGAATCAAATATTGTAAGGACTGTGTATACAGTTGAAGACGAAGATGCTGAATTTTGACATCACATTCACAAGTGGCCTCAAGTATTTCACATATCAAAGTTGTAAATATTCTTATTCCACAGTGTGATTTCTGATTTTTGTTTCTTGTGGATTTCCTTTCTCTTCCACTGTGGCAATCTGGTTTACAGTTATTGTTATACAAAATAGATTGTTTCCTGATGGACGAGAACATAACCTTAATTTCCATAATTGTAGTTGACTTCCTTCTTGCTGATGATTGCAATACCTGTATCATTACTCGCTGCAAACGTTCGTAAATTTTTTTAACTAAATTGAATATTGATACGAGCAAATTCTACTATAAGGTAGCAGAGCTTGCATAATCTCATCTAATAAACATGTTTTAGTTATAATTATTTATAACCTATGCCATATGTTATTTTAAATAAAATGCTCGGTGATAGCTAGTGAAAAAGACTCTTCTTTGGAAAAAGTTTTTAGATGATAGAATCTGGGAGCTTTAAAAGAAACGGCTAAATGGTCAAAATAAGAAAAGAGAAAGAAGAGAAGAGACAGAGACAAAGAAAAAAGAAGAAAATTTGAGAGCAAGAGAAAGTGAGCACAAGTGTGTCGAAGAAAGGAGGCTAAAACATATTTGACTTCAATGTTTAGTGTATGGACAATAGGGAAACAAAATTGGAAAGGAAAATGTGATTTTGTTATTTGAGAAATATGGAAACCATGCAAAAAGTCATTATATTTGGTCCTCCCTCAAAGAGGAAGCATTAAGGAGTCTCGGAGAGGAGAAATGACAATTTCGAAAGTCTTAATTAATAAAGTTTTGTTTAAAAAACGATGTCAAGGTTATATATTATCTAACAATAGATTAAAAAATCGATCATAAATTGCATGCAAATGAAAATTAATTAATTTATGCCATAATGAGGGAGCCTCAAAGTTATATATTATCTAACCAGTTATAATTTTGCAGTATACTTATCTAGAATATTTTATCTTCTTGTTGTAATGATAAAGGGAAAAAAAAAAAGGAAAGAAATACAAGGAATGAAAATATAATTCAATCAAAAAACAAGATCTAGACAGTATAATTCAATCAAAAACGCAAAAATATTAATAGCAATCTCTCTCAAGTCTAAAGCAATAAAAAATTTCCAATGAAATTTAAGTCTTGGGCGCAAAACTAGACTTGATTTTATCAGCCTCTTCAGTACTAATCCGGAAAGCCCTAGACAACACATCACTTGGAACAGACGGCGTAGCTGCAAACAAAGCGGAGCCAATAGACTGAGTGCCAGACAACTGGCTGTTGAAAGCAGAGATGACAGCGGCAGGCACATTGCCATTATTCTTCTGAAAGTGCACCAACCCCTTGGGAAACATGAATACCTCACCAGCTTTTATGGTCTTGGCAATTAACTTGTTGGAGGTGGTAATAAATCCCACATCTAGCTGGCCCTGTAGCACGAACACGATCTCGCTGGCTCTCGGGTGGGTGTGAGGTGGGTTCACACCACCAGGGGCGTAGTCAATGCGGGACATGGAGACGCCCAAGGTGTTGAGGCCTGGGATCTTCTCAACGTTAGCCGCTGTCACCGTTGATCCCATGCTGTTGTTTGCCAGACCTGGTTTCGCCAGTCCGCCGAAGAAGAAGTCCATCTCTGTTATGCTTGCTGCATTCTTGCAGGGGTACCCATTCATCTTGATTCCTGTTATAAAGGCATGTTATTTATATAAACAGGAGAGAAAACAGAAAATAACGTACATATAATAATGTTTCGTCTCTTGGGAAGGAAAGGGCATGGAAACGAATACCGGAGGAAAGATCGGCGACGCAAAGATCTTGAAGTAGGTCAGGATCGGCAAAAGCAGGAGGCAAGGCAATGAAAAAAGTGAGGAGAAAGAGAGTGGAAATGGTTACCATGATCAGAATTATTGCAGTGGGTGATTTTGGTTGTAGATGGATGTGGTTTTATACGTACACCAAAATAAGAAGGGCGTAAATAGAGGTGATAAACAGGGGAGAGAGAGTTCCGGATGAAGGGAAGATGAGAATGGATTTAGTTTTACGACATAAAAATTTGAGGTGACACCCAAAAGAAAGGGTATTAATATCAGGTTTTATTCAAATTGTAATACTCGGAAACAAAAATAACGTAAGTTCAATTTTTAAACTCTATAAACGGAGAGTCAAGTCAAGTCAAGCCAAGCCAAGACTTGTATTTTGAGCATTTGGCCACACCGCTCTCTGCCTCCAATCCCACAACATTAAATTCATTTCTATTTTATACGTATACATTATAATTTTACTAAAATATTTAATTAATTCTTTTAGTTAACATAATTCTTTAAGGCAAGTTAATATACAATAACATCTCTAACCGTTAACTTGCAAGTCAACATTCCCAGAATTACTTTGAACTACACAAGTGTTTAATTAGTTATGTTAAATGCATGAAAGGTGCATGTTTCATGTACATTTCTCTTTTCCCATTTATATGCATCTTCTTTATCCTTCCATATAGTAATTTTATAACCCTTTCAATATGCAGGCCGCAAACCTTGTTGGCTATGGTACTGAACTGTTGGGCATTAATTGGTTCTCTCAGTTTCTTAGTTAATATGGAGTATCAAGGGAGACACTTAATGTTGGCTTCTATTTCTGAAACCTTTTGAGCTATCGCATATGTATCACGAACCAAATAGGTCCACAATTGCCTGTCCTGTTGTTCCCACCGATATGGGACTTCCAATTCTTTGTTACTATAACTAAAACCATAGTTGCTGAATGCTGAATGAAAATAATGTAGGGTCTGCAAAACAAAACAGAAACCAAAAGCAATTCTTCGTCCCATACAAGGATGCTGTGCCAGGAATCTCAACTAGAAATAATAAGGTTTCTTTGACAAGCAAGTCTTTTAACTTTACACCCATCTACATCCACAAACCCAACCTAAAACAACACGTTTAAGAAAAAAGAGTTGTTAGAAGACTAAACAATAACCCTTGTCATGAGAATAATGACTGCAGTAATAAAATATAGTTCAAAAGAAATCCCAACCCACTTACGTAAAAGTTTACATTTCCAGAACTTTCATTTATTTACCCAGATTTTAGAAAGAAATAGATCAGAAAAAGAATGGAAAAAATAAACAGGTGAACAAACAAAACCAATTGAACTTGTCCGATGGTCCAATAGCATATTCTCTATTGATGAATAACCGTGTTTATCAATGTGATGATCACCACAACACAAAAAGGGCAATTAACCACACACACTCTTTTCTTTTCCAACTAAACTATTTACTGATTTTAGGGCTTGCAAGTCTTCAATGGACTGAAACATGGTAAAACTTTGTTTTTACTGAGAAATAAACTAACATATGAATACTCATCATAACAAGAAAAAAGTACTAGATTAGTGAATTATTCAACATAATAATTGTGAGTTCATTTACCTGACTATAGCAGCAAGGTTTATCCTTCTATTTTGATGCCATGAAACTACTTCTTCCTACCACCAGCTACCTTTGATTTCTTAATAGTACTTTCTTTAGCAGTGACCTTAGGTGTTCCCTGTCACCATGACGAGCAAACAATGACCATTGTCAATGAAAGTTCTGACCCAAAGAGGCATCCAAACAAAGAATAAATGGGCAAATAAAACCCGGCATGGATAGGAAATGAGTCCGATAAAACAATATGCACCATAATTTTCATATTTCATCACTAAGAAACTAAGCTGTTGCAACATAACGAGGATAAGAAAATGTTTCCTTCCAGAAGAAATTGTTACAAGATCGAGACGAGTTGTCCCAGAAAAATTGTTGAATGCAACTCATCTGGGTAAGAGACTATGGAAAAGAGGTAGGTACTTCAAGTATTAGCATCAGAAAAAAGTTCAACTCCTCTGGGGAGAGGTGCTGGGACAAAATACAGAGCCCCAGTTTCCCTTTTTCTATCTGTCATTAGCACCATAAGCTCCACAAAGTCAATTGAGATCTTGTTCAAATAAAAGAGAATGTAATCTTAATTACTGATGCTTCATATAGGTACTCGTTCCTAATATTTACTCAAGTAAAACAATTACTAACAAGAAAAACACAGACAACTTACTACTAGAATGAAACTAATGCAATTATAAGGTAACTCTAGTATTTTCAAAAGGAATTAAGTAGATTAAAGATGAGAAATTGGCTCTAAAGGTTCACCAGGGTTTTCAGCTTCTTGTCCCCAAGCAAACACCTCTGGATAATGGAATGAAATGTTTAGGAACCCGAACCAGAGTTGGCAAGCTCAAGCTGCCAGTGCCATCTGGCTTTGAACTACAAACTTGAGGAGAGAATACACTAAACTTGATAGTCGGTTTAGGAGATCGAAGAATGCATTTGCTTTCCTGTCACCAAGTGTATTAACAAATTGTAACTGACAAATAAGTCTACCCCTACCAACAAATCAGAACAAACGTTGAAGAGGTTTATCCCATACTTTGTCCTGTAAGTTCTTAGAGTATGTTATATCAGATAAATGCAGTAAAGTACATGCACACACCCATATAAGAAGAAGGCATTCTAGCAATTACTAGAAGTAGCCAAATTTTAGGAATTTTCTTTTTGAAGCATACATCCAATGTAAAAACATTCAAAGTCAAGCTCTTGAAGAGTCACAAGCGTCATCCTTTTCAAAACATCCAAGTGTAAGTTTCCTCATCTTCCAAGTCTTACTTACAAGGGCAAGAGCAAATTTTTTCTTTTTATTCCCCCTAAACCTTCAGGTAAATAAGATATTGTACTCAAGTCCCAAGACAATCCAAATCCAAATCCACAACAAATCATCCAAAAAAATCAAAGAGCGTCCATAGTTATTGAAGAGTAATCAAGAGTCCAAACCTTTTAAACGAATCAAGATTCTCTCTTCAAGATCATCCAAATAAATATAACAATAAATAATTTTTTCTCAATTTTTTCAACTGATCATTTTCCACCAAGATTTAATCCTGTTTGGAGATCAAGTCCTTTCTTGAATAAAAATGCTATAATAAATCAATACTGTCCAAGATCAAGTAATTTCATTCTTGAATGAAAATATTTTTAATATAGTACCAGTAGTGGTTGTACTAACTAGTTCCAGATATAGTTTAAAATTAGTGAAAATTTAGATGAGCAACAAAAGAATATAAATCATAGATCAAGGTGAAGAAATATTAAGAAAACTAGACTAAACAGGGTAGTTTAGACAAAATAATAACCAGGAAAATAAACACAGGGAATAAAGCCCTAGCAAATGAATCTTAATTCATCATCACCTATTTTTTTATTTCTTCTTTTGTACAGTGGATAATAGTATGCCTAGAGAAGACAAACCTTTCGTTTGATAGTAGTAGATGTGTTAGCAACTGGCTTAAAAAATGATTCCAATCTGTAAACAAGAAATGAGACATAACAAGCTGATGAGACTTTCAAATTTATTAAATATGAAATGGAAGAGAACAAGCTACACAGACTTTCTCTATATATGTTCATTAATTGGAGAATTACTTACCGGCCCTGTGATGACTTATTCTTGGCCGCTTTAATTTTTTCAATAGCCTAACATACAAAGAAAATTTTAAAATATGAGAAACATCTTTGTAATATCCAGAGAAGTAGTATGAGTACATAGCTTGCAATCTGGCATCCGACCAGGAAAAACAGTATAATAGTAGTAAAGAAGCCATACCTTCGTCACTCTGTCACTGTTGAACCCATTCTCATTTACCAGAAAGTTAATTAACCCCTGAAAATTAGAACTGCAACTTGTCTAAACATTTCATAAGAGTAAAATGCACATAGCACCAAATAAAGAATTTTCTGATAAAGAAACCATTCACCTCCTCATCCGGAGCAGTCCACTTAACATCAAGTTGCTCCTCATTAGTTAAAACCACTGGTTCTTTAAACAGCTGTCGAGCTTCTTGATAGGGCCAATCATCTGGTATTTGGTACCTGAAATGAAAAATATAAAGTTAATAAGAAAATAACGCAAGTATATATACGTGTATGAAATAGTATGGTTTAAACGGATAAATACATTCTTATATATTAAATTGTTACATAGTCCATGTATACTACTACTATTTTGTATTTTTGTGTCATTAGGTTACTAGAATCTAATCTAGAATAAGCTCTAAATAACACCAAGGTAATTAACAAGAATCACCCAAAAATATCTTTTATATGGTGTTGGAGCACAAGTTATCATTTACAAAAAACTAAACTTTTTCTTTCTTTCCTACTGCAATCATAGGTCTTTCTTCCTCCTCCACTATAGCCGATTCATTGTCCTCTTCTTCCCTTCAATTCTCAGGATCCTCTAACCCATCTCTTTGAAGTTTCAAAGATCAACACTACGCTGTTGAACGACTCCATCTTAGAAATTGCTTGACTTGGGAATGTCTTTTTCATCCTATCTCTCAAGGCCATGATATCCACTTTCATATATACGAGTCCACTTCCTATTCAGCAGAAAAAATGAGTGGCGATGGTAAGCAAGTCCCATTCCTAGAAGCTATTCTATAGAAACAGGATGACCCTCTTGTTTCTCTTGGATTTAAGACTACAATTTCTTCCAATATCTTGAGGAGTTCGTCACAAACCGAGAACATGGTTCGGATCTAGGAAGGTAATGATTGGTTTTAGAGAAAGGTAGAGAGAAAAAATAGAGAGGGAGATCAGGAGAGAACATGAGAGAGAAATAGATAGAGAGAAAGAGATTTCTGAGAGGAAGAGGAAGAAACCGAGAGAAAGAGAGAGAAAATTTGGTGAGATGATGAAAATATATTTAAAATAATTCATTTCATGCTTACATCTAATGAAAATAGGTGATTTTATACAAGAGAATATGCATGAACACATTCTCCAAGGGAGCCGAAGTTGCAAAGGAAATCTCTCAATTCATTGAATGAAGATGGAGGAGCAGCCGATTAACCTAGGGTTTGAGAGGATTAGATACCCCTCCTGCAAGCAAAACATGTGCCCCCTAGGATTCTTGGATGCATGCCACGTAGCCCTATCTTTTCAAACAGTTAACCCTTAAGGGTTTGGATTCCCCATGGAAGTTTCCATTTTTCTCCTTCTTTTCCCCAACCATTACAATGTTCCCTTGCTCATTTTCTCCTTATTGCACTCAGATCCGTACAGAGTCTTCTCAAAGCCAACATCTCTCTCACTACTCAAGAAGCCTAGTTCACCGTTGATCAACTTTCCAAGACTAAGCCCTCACTCAACTTTTCAACTTAAGTCAGAAGTCTACAGCACTTCAAAATCCAACCTTATGATCAATTCTTACCCCCAAAAATTCATAACTTTATTTGATTCTCTAGTCTCCTCAAAAATGAAGTTTCGGAGGATAAATTAGTACTTCAAGTCCTTGATGGTTGTTTCCTCAACTGAGAACATTGTTTTTAGTTTTAATGCCTAAAAACCTAATGTCGTCCTTTTTCGAACTCCAGATTACTTTGTGTTCATCTAGGTAGCATGTGCAGGCCACCACAATCTTAGCTGCCAGCCACCACAAACCGGCCATCTCCATCACAAACTGATATTGTAGTCGGCCATCTCCACCAAGACTAACCTTCATCACTGCAACCAGTTCGCCTAGACGCACACCACCCAGCAGCAGTTGCTCCAGTTGCGCAATTTGCCCAGATGAACAACCCTATCCGCCACCATCTGCTCATCCCTCAATCGCAGATGCCCTCGATCTTACAGTTCGCCTACACATGGATACTCAACTATGGTCACTCTCAGTTGCACAGTTCGCTCAGACGCGCAACTATAGCAACCACCATCTGTGCATCTTTCAGTCGCGCAAACGCACAGACCTAACCGCGCAGACCAAGCAACAGTCACATAGAAGACCAGCCTGCTCCACTACGCATCGCTCATGCATCCACCTGATCTGTCAGTCCACCACAGCCGCCAACTCTCTTCTGCACAGCTGCATTTGTCTGACTGCATATGGCAAACACCAATTTATCTGTATAGCAGCTCCGACTCCTCTGGTCAGACACACACAGCCACATGCTATCCTAGTAAAATCCTTCATGTAATTACCAAAAAACACTCAAAGATATCAGAGGTAACATCTCAAAATATTGGAACCCACTTTCACATGGGAGTACTAGCAGTGAATTTCAGCAAAGGTATGCAACTATCACTTCATGGCGAATGATTATCTGAATTGGTTCTAATTAATCCAAACCACCCTCAAGCGAAAGGGCAAACTCAACCATCTTGTTGGTACCGGACTACAACCAAGATACCCCGCTTTTGTTTCTTGGGAAGAAAATGATCCCATGACCAGGGCATTACTTTGGAATTCCATGACTCCAGAAATCAGCAAGCCCGTGATGTTCCTACCCACAACATAAGCAGTAGGCCAGTATCACAATTTTATGATGGACTACAATAGACCGTCTCAGGAAGTTTTGTATAAAAAAGTCGTGCATATTAATTTCTAACAAACTAAATTCTAAATATGATCAAGTATGAGTACAAATTTTGCGAAAAGAGGAAATGTCACCAAATTATACTATATTTCTAAAAGAAATGTAAACTAATAGAAGTGATTATGTTAATGAACATGCAAAATAACAATAAAAATTAAACTAAATGCATAATAAAATGAAATCAAGACTGTGAACGAATTTCACCAAATATGCATTCCTTAACATTTTTACTTTGAAATATATGCATTCCTTATCAATTATAACCATCAAGATCTTAACAGTTAATCAACCTCGCAGAGCCCATGTCAAAAAGGCTATTTAAACATGTCATACAGTCACAAATGAAGAAAAAAGAAAGCAGAAAAAATGTGGAGCACCTCTCTTTGTTAATGTTTTCCAGTATTTTCTCTATAGAGCCATGTTGACGCATGAGCTTCAGTGCAGTTAGTCCTCCAATACCTATGATATAAATATGTAAAGGTAATAAACCTTTTTTAACATGTAAGAATACTAATATATGTGTCTATTGGAGCCAAGAAAAACCAGTAACATTTATATATTCCCCTCCCCAAAACCAAGAAGACTGAAGGGAAAAAAGTAGAGGTTAGACCATGAAAAGAAAATCCAAAATACCTCGAATGCTGTCACAATAATCACAACCAGAGAGAATGCACAAATCAATAAACTGATCCATTGTAAGGCTGAGTTCATCCAAAATCTGAAACAAAACAATCATGAGAGAACTGGTCTCTAGATCATTTAATCACATTTCTTATCAGCATTTACATGACCTTGGCAATTTCAAATTCCATGACAGGGACTTTTCTTGAGCTTGGATCCATTAAATGGCGAAGAAATCTAGGTGCTCCAAAAGTTAGGGAGTCCATGTCTTCGGAAGCCACAGCATAAATCTGAAAAGATGAAAAAGTACATGAAAAAACATTTATTCAAAAAAATATTATATGATACTTGTGAAGGAATGATTCTACTAACTTGTGCATAAGATCAAAACAATCTTAATGAATGGTATAAAATGATTTAAATATAAAAGAAGTGGACAACATTAAAATGCATGAATACAAATTACATATTTTTCAAAGCTTCCAAGCCCTAATACATTGTAATTGACGCATACTCAACAATCCAAAAAGATAGATTATCACAAAAAGAAAAAATAACAACAACAATGATAATTGCTTCTTAACAGAAGATATTTTATAGAGGTGCAAACCTTTCCTGATTTGCAAAGTGCAGCACATTGTGCCTCTGCTTCGGAAGGAGCCTAGAGAAAAAAGTTTCGGCTTTTAATAAATAATGGGCACTTAATATTTAGGATTTTAAGAGATATACTCATGCTATGGAGAGAGGGCACATGTCTATATAAAACTAAACCAAGTTCTGCAATAAATTACTTCAAATTATCTAATATTACCTCGATTACTGGCACTCCCATAAGTCTTAAAAGTCTTTTGCAGTCCTCATTGTGCTGCTGTGTTACCTACAAGTTAAAGCGGATATAGCTAAAAGGTTAAGCTTAGAGTCATAATTCCTTATTTGCTAGTTGACGCCATCCGCTCTATGAAGAAAAAACATAAATGAATCTTCAAGTCAAGATTCTACACCTTCCTGGTAAAATTGAACGAAAGAACATGAGAGAGGCACTCACCTTTACTGTTCTTTTACTGAATTTCTCGATGTCTTCTTTATTTCCAATCTGCAACCAGGAAAATAGAACATGGAAGGGGAAAAAACAAATGAATAGATAAAAGGAAAAGTGAGTCCATAGTGACATGTACCTCCACGGCATCAGCCAAATCCTCAGTAGCATCAGCCCTCTTTGAGTAACTGTATTACAAGAAAAAACATCAGCCCCCTTCTTGTAAGGAAAAGAGACGACCGCTAATTTTTAAAGCTTGAACGCCCCTAATTGATAAGGGATAAAAACAAAGTTAATTGGTGATGGCAAAGGTACCGCTTTGCCAGCTCTTGCTTCTTCAAATCAGGAGGCTTCCCATCAAAAACATACCTGAAAGAAGGCGTCAGTTGAATTAGGAAATACTTCATCAAACTTGATACATAAAGTGGCAGGTAGCAATGACATAAAGAAACAAACTTGATATGTCTCCAAATACTAGAACAACACCCCTCCCCCCCAGTGGAGGGCAAATGGGTGCAGGGAAAAGATAAAGATGGGTCTTACAGAGGCTTCATTCCAGCTTCAAGAAGCCGAATGGTGCGAGTGAACATGCCCTGCAAGTGACTAAAGAAAGTAAAACCAAGAAATCCCCCGTATAAGTACATCATCAAACAAATAGAGATAAATAAAAAACAAAGGATGGATAGACTCCACCAATATATGCTTCATAGGCTATTACCCACGATTAATTAAAAAGGAAAGTAAAAAATAGCACTGAATCGTTCCACGGAGATAAAGATTAACCTGGTGACTTCACCAGCTTCATTTGTGAGCATCTCAGTCCCGCTTCTTCCCACTACAATCTGTACTCATCCAATTCAGTTACACTTAAGCTCTTTTACATTCCAATAACCCATATGTTCGCAGAAATAGATACTATCATACATAGGCACAAGATAGAGATACATGCAAACAATAACTAAAACTTCATTTGTAAGAAATGCGAAAGAAAAAAGAGGCAACAAGGAAAAGAGGACTGAGTTTACTGACAAGGAACTGATAGATACTCATGCTAGCATCAATTGCAATCTTACGACCGAAGTAGCTCTCAAATTTCTGCTCTTTCATAGCCTTTGGGGCATTGTCCGCTAGAAGCTTTGTTAAACCCTAATCAAATTCAAACTCAGCATCAGTATATAAAATAAAAAGAAAAAACAGAAGCAATATTTCTGCTCTTCAAAATTGAGCATACACCTTTATACCCATGGTTTCGGAACGGTCGGCAGAATGGTTTGAGGGGATTCAGATTTGATTTGGGCGATTTGTTTCCCGCCTACTACGACTCGCAAGGATATTTGTTAAAACCTGTACGTGTGGGTTTAAAGCACACATGTATGTATGGCTTCGTGCACGTGGTGTGAGAAAGACGACGTAGTTTTGGATGTGCTAGTACTTTCCTATAATTCTATATCTGTAACTGTTGCAGAATGCTGAGTGCCAAAAACTAGGGAGAACTGTTTGAGCTAAAAAACCATGCTGTTTATGCTAAGACGCTCTTGAATTGTTTATGCTGATGCCAAACTCTTAACTTTCTGTTTGTTGTGATTCACAAGAACGAAAAGAAAAACAAATAAATAATGTTTTTGAGACGATTAATGCTTGCAGTTTAAACTGATAAAAAAAAGTATTTTAAAATAACAATAATTTTAAGATAAAAATAATATAATATTTAATAAAATTGTATTTTTGATAGAAAGCGTGATAGCTATTTAATAAATTCTGTTTACAATATTAATAATAGCTATTAGAAATATATAATAGTAGGATTTAAATTATTATAATATTCTTTCAATATATAGGTATCACCTGATTTTATTTACATAATTTGTAATAAATATAAAATTATTAATAGCCAATTATATTATATTTTTATTTTTAAAAAATTAATGAATAGGAAACTGACAAACTTACTTGCTAAAAATATTAATCACCTTAGCAAACATAAATCATTTCTCAAAAGAACTTTTTTTTTTTTTTAATCTTATAAAATGATAAACAGTATTTTTATTTAAAAATATTTTACATTTTTTAGCGTTTAATCAGACTTTTTATTTTGTATTACAAAAACAAAAATAAAACTCACACAACACACATCCTTGGCCTTATTATTTATGAAAAAATAATTTTTACATATTTATGAAAAAATATATTTTCTCGTTTCTGCTAAAATAATTTAATTAAAATAAATTTATTCATCCTACTTTTAACTTGCATCAGCTTAATATATTAAATCATAACATCAACATTTTTCTGTTTAAAGATAAAAAAGTCATTTAGTTGATTTCTTCATCCCCATTTCATGGCCGGTCGAGAAGCTAGCTTTAAATGGCGACAGCAGCCCCTGCAACTCACAACACTCTACTAACAACAGTTTTAATTGGAAAAAAGAAAAAAAAAAAGAATTGAAAGAGAAGAAAATAAAAAATGGCCATAAGAATCTGCATGCACTGTTCCTTACATAGTTATTAATTATTAGTAAATATAATATAATTATAGTATAGCAAGATGAGTAAGTTGTCACAGCTATACATATATATATATGTAAATATTTTTTAGAGTTATTCCAGCTATAGCTATATATATATATATATATTGCATTGATGATCTGCGGAGATGTCGAAATAGTGAGTCAGTACTAGGTTGATGAAGTGTCGAAAGATATGACGATGAATCTAATGCTCCGACGTTACAGACGATGCCATCTCCTTTTTATATATACATTAATCCAAGCCCATTTCTCCATTCTCCACCCTCCACTACCTACTGGTCAGTTGCCCATTTTTATATCAACCCTAATTGATTCTGCCCAAATATATACATATAACTCATCTCCTCAATATGGTAATTTCTTAGTCTCTTACAAATACTAGCCTTACTCTTCATCGTAATTCTAATTCATTTAATTTTTAGTTTGCAAAATCCACGAGCTGGGTATAAGTTGTTGATTTCAATTAATTAATTATATGCATGTGCATGCATAGGGGAAGGGTCCCGAGGTGACTACTAAAGCCGACTGTGAAACTCCTCCGTCGAGTGAGCAAAAAGGTGGATTTAGAGCATCCATGTTCATTTTTGGTGAGCAAATTAATTTAGATAGAGTTAATTAAACTCTACATATATATTAATTGTGGTAAAAGTATTATTGATTTGTGTGTGTATGTAATGTACGCAGTGTTGGTGGCGCTAGAAAATATGGGATTTATAGCTATAATAATTTGTATGTGTATGTAATGTACGCAGTGTTGGTGGCGTTAGAAAATATGGGATTTATAGCGAACATGGTGAGCATGTATCTCTATTTTTATAATGTGATGCACTTTAGTGTATCCGGCGCAGCAAACACCCTTACCAACTTTTTGGGAACAACTTTCTTGCTCACTGTGGTTGGCGGCTTCATTTCCGACACTTACTTGAACAGATTTACTACATGTTTACTCTTTGGAGCTCTTGAAGTTTTGGTAATCAAAAACATGCATACTTACATCAATTTATAAAGAAACCCATATATATATTTATATATTTATTATGTGATGTGATAATAATTTGTATAATGACAGGCATTGGTGATGGTCACAATTCAAGCACACTCAGATCATCTGCATCCAAGTTCTTGTGGGAAGACAAGTTGTGTGAAAGGTGGAATAGCAGTGATGTTGCACGCATCATTAGGTTTGTTAGCACTGGGTGCTGGTGGAGTTAAAGGGTCTCTTCCTCCTCTAGGTGCTGACCAGTTCGACCAGAAAAACCCTAAAGAAGAGAAAGCTCTGGCTTCCTTCTTTAACTTTCTATTGTTAAGCACCACCCTTGGAGCTGTTGTTGGAGTTACAGGCATTGTATGGGTCAGCACAAAAAAAGCTTGGTATTTAGGTTTCACCATTTCTACTGTTGCTGCTTTTGTTGGCTTTATTGTTCTTGCTATTGGCAAGAATTTCTACCGCCTCCTTCCACCTATTGAAAGTCCTCTAATTAGGATTGCTCAGGTTAAGTTACACACTTAACTATAGTTAATACTAATATTGATTTATTAACACTTGTCTTTACTCTCTCTCTCTCTCTCTCTCTCACACACACACATAAATACATACACACAGTGTGGACACAAACACCCATCTTAAGTGCTAATGAACACGTCCTCATATATACATATGGTATAACTACTTTTGTTTTAATTTGTACACAGGTTATAGTTGTTGCTATCAAGAACAGAAAATTAACGCTACCAGATAATGCTGATGAATTATATGAGATCATCGATGAAAAAGAGCAAAAAGGAGAAAGAATCTCACACACCAATCAATTTCGGTACATAGATAATAATATCTTTCAATTCTTGTTTACAGGTATAAAGAAATTGATTAAAAATTTAATATATAATATATATACACGTATATGTATATATATATATATAAATTGAAGGTGGTTGGACAAAGCAGCTATTCTTCATAAAAACAAAGAAAGCACAAAATGGGTGGTTTGCAGCGTCACTCAAGTTGAAGAAGTGAAGATTATAACAAGAATGTTGCCAATTTTAGGGAGTACTATCATAATGAACACATGTTTAGCACAATTGCAAACTTTTTCAATGCAACAAGGATCGACAATGGAGTCTCATTTAGGCTCTCTTGAGGTTCCTACTCCTTCAATCCCAGTCATTCCTCTAGTGTTCATGTCAATTTTGGTCCCCATCTATGAATATGGTTTTGTCCCCTTCGCTCGAAAGATCACCAATCATCCTTCAGGCATCACACAACTCCAACGCGTAGGAATTGGATTAGTATTATCTATCATCTCTATGGGAGTTTCGGGTATTATTGAGGTTAAACGAAGAAATCAATCTATTAAAAATCGACTTCAGCCAATAAGTTTGTTTTGGTTATCCTTTCAATATGCCATATTCGGAATTGCAGACATGTTTACTCTTGTGGGACTACTTGAATTTTTTTATAAAGAAGCCCCCACATGCATGAAATCACTCTCCACTTCATTCACATGGTTATCATTATCATTTGGATATTTTTTAAGTAGTGTATTTGTGGAGATTATAAACTCAGTGACAAGAAGGATTACTCCAAACAGACAAGGATGGTTATATGGGTTAGACATAGATAAAAACCATGTAGATCTCTTCTATTGGTTCTTAGCCATTCTTAGTAGCCTCAACTTTATCAACTATCTCTATTGGGCTTCATGGTACAAGTATAAATCACAAGACCCGAATTTTGAATCACAATTGCAATCTTCTACCGAGGAGGAAGCTGCTCCTAATCATAATGTTAATATTGATCAAGCAACAACCAATATTGAAGAAGCTCCCTCTTATGAGAAAAAAGGTTTAGAGAAAGATATCAATTTTGCATGACACCAAATAATGTAATGTTATTATTCATAAATTGAAGGACTAATTATATTATCTTATACGTGTGGCAATTAATCAAATTTGAAATAGTCGTGATACCATATGAAATTTGATTAATCTCAACTACACATATTTATATGTGATGAAAATAATAGGAATGGCATGGATTTTGATTTCCTTCTAAGTGTTTAAAAGGTTTTCACAACATCCATATATAAGATAGGCTTGACCATATAAAGAAAGTAAATTAATTAAAGACATATGTATGTGTGTCTTGAGTTCAAATCATTATATTTATAATTTGATTTTTTATCATATTAGCTATCAATGAAGTCAACATATAAATTATTTATATTTTAGATATTAAATAAATGATTAACTTACTCATATTGATAAAACAAACTCCTTTTTATATGAAACAATATTGTTAGTTGTGTTGTTGTCCAATAATAATTAATTATAATTTTTTATTATGAATAAAAAAATAGTTTCAGGCTCTCAACAGATTTTTGTTAATAAAAGAAAATGGTCTTAAACTCTCAACATATTTTTGTTATTAAGACTTTGTATTTACTTGAACGCGAAAAGTTTGAATATCACTTACATCGTATAATTCACTACTTTACAGATGTATTATAAATTGCATGTGATGTATAATTATAGATTTAATATAACCAATAACTTAACACACTAATGTGTTGGTAGAATAACGTGACAAAATCAAGTTAAATCTCAGCGAACTTAGTTGTATTTTTAGGTAAAATGAATGTTTTGTAACACTAATTTTTTTAGTTATAGTAATTATAACAAATTAAAAATTTGACATAATTTTTTTTTTTTGAAAAAAGATATTAGCATGGCATGAATGTCCATCTTCCTTATATCATATCGTTCTCAAGGAGAATGTTATACTAATAAGTTAGCATCATAATGATTTCTAATATTCTTTTTAAATATTTTATGATTATTTCGTAACTTTACGTGATAATAATTTAAAATTACATAATTATTATGTAAATATTTTTAAAATTAATAATATATGAAATATTATAAACAATAGGAAGACATGATGCCTTTGGAATACCATAAAATTTTATTTAAAATAATAAAATTGTATTTTATTAAAAAGTAGATAAAGACGAAAAGGCTAAAATATCATATAAACTCATGTACTATTTGATTTTTTCGATAGAAACTCATCTACTATTTTTTGATATGTTTTAGTTTTATACTTTTAGATTTTTACTAATTTAATATTTAGTATTAATAGACGCATATAGATCAATAAATATGATACATGTGATATATGATGCATCAAAATTATGATATGTAAGTTGTGACGTAATACATTATGTAATAAACACGTCAACTTAAAAATCTTAAAATGTGAATCATTTTGATTCTTTTCTTATTGCAATTTTTTCCCCACTAAGTTCCTTTTTTTCTTTGAGCTCTAACAATAAGAAAAAATGAGATAATGATGAGATTGCATTTTCTTCTTTTTGATTTTTTGGACAATGTAGGAAGGAGGCAGAAGGAGATAACGAGGAGATGAGATAGTATTTATGATTTATATTTTATAAGATTAGAGCTTAAAGGAAGATTGGGACTTAGAGGAAAAAGATGGCAATAATCAATGAAGCATATGAAAATTTGAGTTTTTTTAATATGATGTGATTGTCATGTCATTATCAAACACGTATTTGAAATTAAACACTCTTTAGATGACAATTAAAATTAAAACTATATAAAAAAAAAATATTACATAGATTAATACTACAAATGCTGATAAGGTATTTTACTAAACAGGAAAATATTAAATTATTGGTAAAATACATAGTTTATTCGTTTGTCTACAAAAATGTCTTGTCTGAAAAAATTAAATGAAATTAAAAAAAAAAAAAAGTATAATTATGTTGTAAAATTAGTGGTACATAATATTCGAAAATGGAATATTTTTCTAAAATATTTGCACTCTAATTTTATAATTGCCATTTAAATTTATTTGAAGTAAATGTAAAAAAATTATAAGCATGGAAAAATCTTAGAATATAATAATAAAATAACTTTGGTTCCATTGATTTTTGAAACAAAGTTCTTTTGAATAAATAAAGAACAAAACCAAATTTATAAAAAATAAAAAATAAAAATTTATCCAATTGGTCCATTTTTCAGTTCAACTTTTAATTGACAAACCTAACTCAATCAAGAAGCCAATCCAATAATTAGCCCGCGTTCTTATTTGAAGAACATGGATTCAGCCCATACTTTATGTAAGATCCAACATAGCCCTTTCAAAATTCCCATTTGGAGCCCAATCCATGATTCAAGCTGAAGCTCGAGCCAACCTAACATAAATCTCAAACGGCACCGTTTGGAACGAGAGATTCTTGTTTTCTTGACGATGATGTGGGAGAGTGAGAGATCTGATAAAGCCAAGGGACCAAAGGGCTAGTTTTCTGTTTAAAATTATCCATTAACATTAAGCAAGTAAATCAAAGTAAGGTGGTGAAGTTATTCAATAAGGAAAAGAGTGTCCACCGACAACCTTTATGAATAATTATATATTGTAAGAGAGGAGGTCACATGCATTATTAGACGGGATTGTGTATGCGTTGACAATGATTCGCTCCAATATATATATATATATTTCCATTAAACATCCACCAATTACTTCATTAACCATTATTTACAATGTCTCCTCATATGTTAATATTAGTCCGGCGTGATTATAGATTCACAATTACTTTGTCTCTCTCTCTCCCTCTCTCTGTCCAGTGTGCATATATATATATATATATATGTGTGTGTGTGTGCATAAATGTAATGAGCATCATCATCGCCGAATTATGTTCTTATAAAAGAAAAAAAAGAAACTATAGATGGAAAATTCCATAGAAAATAAAAGTGGGCATGGTTGGTGGATGACAGCACGTAATTGAGTTGGTAGTAACGGGCATGTGATTTATGGGACCATTACTTCAACACACTCTTGAGGCGGAGACTTCACCCATTTCTATTCGCTACGATAAATTTTTTAATTAATTAATTAATTAATATTATAATTAAATCACGAACAAGTATTTAATGCGTGCATATATATGATAGAGACAGTTTAAGGAGGGAGCAATACAATTATAGCTTGTCCCACGAATCCATTTTATGCTCATGCATGCTTTTGTTTCACGCAAAATAATTATTTAAGACATTAAATTATTCCAAATACTCTTTGAAAAACAAGTTTATTATATTTATAAAAATATATATATATATATATATCAATTCAGCTAAAACTTACTTTTTTAATATATATATATATATATTGACTTTACTTCTTTTTTTTTAAAAAAAAAAAAAAGTTAAAACTGTAATTTATATCTTAAAATAATTATTGAATAAGAATTTATCTTAAAACTAGATTACTAAATAGTTGTAATATAATTATTTTTAAGTGGTCAAAGTTAATATATTGTGGCCAATATCTAAATGAAGGGTAATCATTATTTGGGCAGAGAGTAAATATATAATTAATGTATACAAAATTCATATATATATATATATAGACGTGGATCACTTGATTATTTAGATCAAACAGGATTGTGACGGACAGAAATGTTTTTGTCCATTTTCCAAACATCCTAAGCACCAAACACAAACCTTCCCCCTTTCTTCATCCTCACTCCTTTACGCAACTAAAAGAAAATGTACACCGTTTCCTTTTTCTCTCAATAAAAGAAGATGCATTGCACCTGCATCTGACGCCCAGAAACATATCTACTTCCAAACATAAATGACTCATTAGTTATCTGAATATGCATATGTAGGGGTTTGTCAAATTAATTAATAAAAACGTTGCTTTTCAGAAAATAAATGAATTTTTTTAAAAAAAATTAATTACAAGTAAGTCTAAGTATAAGTACACAATCCAAAGAGCAAACATGCCTTAATTAATATCATAAATTTTGATATTTATTATCTATTTTTTTTTATTATAATTAAATTTTATATTTATTTTGAATATTTTAAGATCACAAATCAGATTTAAAAAAAAATAAAATTACACTCATCGTTATTATAAATAATAAAGACCGACACAAAAATGTTATTATTATATTGCATCAATGTTAATGACATTAAACATAATTTAATACTTTAGATTCATTAACATTAATAAATTCGTTATTTTTCTCTTAATATAAATTCAACTTTCCAATTTTACAGTTTTTAAGTAGTAATTTTTTGTTATGTATCAGAGCAACAAAAAACAGTTTACGAAGCATTGGATTTAAAGCGTTACATTAATATATTAAATTTAAAAATACAACTAGGGAAGCTTTTAATTAAAAACTTAAAAACATTTTATATTCGAATTTATTTATTATTTTAAAGAGTTTAATCGGAGAACTATTTATATCTGAAACACAAAAATTAAAGTTACGTCACAGTCTATAAATTAAGAGGTTACAACCACAGATTCTTTAGTGGGGGGGGAAAAAGAACAGCGGCACTAATTCGAAGATACCGAAACGTATGAATGGCAACGCCAAAAAGACCAGCTGTAACCCTCACGAGTCTCCTTCCCGCACTGTAAATGTAAATGAAGCAAAGCAAAAAAGGGCAACATTTTATTTATTTTAAAAGCAATTCAGATTATGTTTACTCGTAATTTAGGTCGCCGCCAAGCAGATTGGACTTGTTGCTTAATTAACCATCACCTAGGCTCAAAAATGTCTTTTCGCTTTTAACACTTAATAAAATCTTTGCTAGATTTTCCAGTAATAACATCTTAAAAAAGCCCGGCAAAGACCATCTTCTACTTCAGACTCCCCCCTCCCCTAGAATTAGCAGATTCACATTTTCTGAACTCAAGATTTCCTTGCCCTAGATCATTCCTTTCTTTCCCACAATAAGCCTCTCGTTTATTTCAGTTTTTCTCCCCCCATTAATGGCACACATTGCCCAGTTTCATTAAAGTTTGTTCCTTTGCCAAAGATTCGGTGAAGGACCAAGCAAGAGCAGAACAATGAAGAAGCTTTTATGGGTCCTGGCTGTCGCAGGACTTGCTTTTTGCACTCTTGTTGATGGCTTCATGGAACTTAATGAAACCCAGTTGTCTCTCATTGAAGCTTATGATTATGGAGTTTCTAAAGTTAATTATAATCCTCTAATGGTAGGACTTACGCTCATTACAAGTGCTGCTGCAAAAGGAGCCGGTATTACCATTCTCTTTATTCTTCTTCTTCTTCTTCTTACCATTTGCTCTCTCTCTACCTCTCTCTTTTTTAAATTAAAAAAATTTACTTGCCCGTACAGTTTTCTGGGTTGCTTCGCTTAGATTTGACTCCTTATATTTCCTTTTTTTCCTTTTTATATATATTTTTTCTCGAGTTCCATTTAGAAAAAAAAAAAAAAAAAAAAAAGAACAGAAGAACATATTCTATGTTCAAATCTATTCCTTTCAGTTGATGCAGATTTATTCCACTTCTTTGAATTTATCTATCTTGACATACTTGTTTGAGCGGCAGAGTTCTGTTTTCCCTGTAATTTCTTATAAAATTACAGTACTAAACACAGCATCTGTATTTACGAACTAATTCTTTTATCAACATTCCATTCTCACTGATCTCAAAAAGAAAAAAGAAGATCCCCTTCGTGTGTGATTCATCTTCTTCACCCTGCCCGTATTTCTAATTCCTCCTGAAGTTTTTCTCTCGATTAGCACGCACACACAGATACAGACACATAATATGCTTTTGTTGATGTTAACGAAAATGACATTAATAGCGCGATGTTTCACTTAAAAAATGTCTTGCATCTATCTTTCTGTTTTAATATTACAGTATGCTTGGATGGAACATTGCCTGGATACCATTTGCATCGTGGACACGGGTCAGGAGCAAATAGTTGGCTTGTTCACTTGGAGGTCTGTGAGATAGTTTTCGTATACAATGGCATCTCGTATTTCTTAGTTTATTGGCGTCTGCTTGCTTGCTCTTTAAGATTTTTGTGGCCTACTTCTGTTTAACAGGCTTCCTGAAGTTTTTGATTGATCCTTTCAGTTTTTCACTTTTGAGTATTCTTCAAATATGATTCCTACAGGGAGGAGGATGGTGTAATAGCATTAGAACTTGTGTTTATCGGAAAAAGACACGCCGTGGATCCTCCACGTATATGGAAAAGCAGCTAGCATTTACAGGGATTCTGAGTGATAAAGCTGAAGAAAATCCTGGTTCTTCTCCTGCCTTATATGCGAAATATTCAGGAAAATTTCTCATTTTTCTTAGATTATTTATTATTACTCTTATTTATCTTCACCCCTTGCTGCAGATTTTTTTAACTGGAATAGAGTAAAACTTCGTTATTGTGATGGTGCTTCTTTTACCGGTGACAGTGAAAATAAGGTAAATCAGCATCTAGCTATCATTGTTCATACATGATATATTGACATGATTTCTGTTTATGCCTGAGAAGAAAGTGTAACAATAATAGTGGAAATGCCATTCACAGCCAGCATCCAAGTAAATTACCCGCACTCCCATTTCCTATAACTGGATTGTGGGTCTCTTGTATATTGGTCGTTGTCAACGTCTTTTTGTAATGTTTTTATTCTTTTCATTTCTATTCTTTATTCCACTATGATGCTTAAGGTGAACAATTCACCTCCTTTACCTTCTTTGTTGATATAACCGATTTTCATTGTGTTTGTTCTTTTCTTTCCCTGTTGGAAATAGCATTGTCATTCTATTCTGAGATTCGCTAATAAAAACACCTTCATTTTTTGAACTTTACTTCACCTCTTATAATCAAGTGGTTAATTTCTCCCTTAATAACATTCAATCATGCAAATGTTTATGTGGCATCAACTTCGAATTTATTTTTACAAATGTGTCATGACATCAGAAGTAACAAATACGTGGTTCTGTTTTAGGCTGCACAACTGCAATTCAGAGGACAGCGTATATGGTTGGCCGCAATTGAGGATTTAATGGCAAAGGGAATGCGCTATGCAAAACAGGTGTTATGCATGTCAAGCTTCCAGTGGCTTTGCCTCCTTTACTTTTTCTCTTTTCTTGCCTGAAAAGTTAACTAATTCTCTATCAGGCGCTTCTCTCTGGGTGCTCTGCTGGGGGTTTAGCATCAATTGTACACTGTGATGAGTTCAGGGATATGTTTCCAAGAACTACTAAAGTGAAGTGCCTGAGTGATGCTGGCTTATTCTTGGATACGTAAGTTTTAGAATTACTATCTCCCATGCTTTTCTTATTTTCTTCTATTTTACCTGATAGGTTGTGAATCTTTATCCTTAGTCACTATCTTATGTATTAATTGGCTTGCATTTCTGGAACTGAAGGATCGATGTATCCGGTGGGCACACCATCAGGAATTTATATAATGGTGTAGTAAGCTTACAGGTATCAACTTTTGAGACTTCTTCTAGTATTGTATCTTGCTTTTGCATCCTTTACTTCTCTACTTACGAACAATATTTGGTTTATCATCAAGACAGTGCATATTGATACTTTGGCATAACTATTGTAACACATTTTTCCTCTCTGGTTCTAACTTGGACATAAAACTTTACACGATGTATTGTCAAATATCATAAACATCCTACTCCAGGAGGTTTCCATGTTATGTTATATGGATCTTTCCTTTCAAAATGAATCTTATCCACGTTCTATTATATTCTAAAAAATGTTTATCAATTTAACTGTATTTAGTCAGGCTAACTGGAAGTTGTATGATTTTACAGGGAGCGAAAAAAAGCTTGCCTAGTTTTTGCACTCGCCATCTTGATCCGGCTTCAGTAATTCTTTTATTCTGACTCTTCCATGTGACATTTCTCTAATTTGAATGAAATATAAAAGGGAAATGCAGGATGTTACTCTCAAACTAACCCTACCTCATGTATTTCTTGTTTCAGTGCTTCTTCCCACAGAACCTAATTGGTCAGATGAAAACCCCGCTATTTATTCTTAATGCAGCTTATGACTCATGGCAGGTAATAATCCTTTCCTATAACATTCTAATCTAATCTGACAGCCTTCTACCCAAAGGAAGAAAAAAGAATGGTCAGGTTACTACACATGAGTAGCATTCTAAGGATTTTGGTACGGGCTAGGTGGACTAAGTAATCCTTTTCCTTCTCGTAAGCAGATACAGTCCAGTTTGGCTCCACCATCAGCAGATCCCAGTGGCTATTGGCATGATTGCAGATTAAATCATGCCAAATGTACTGCAGCACAGATCAATTTTTTGCAAGGTTATTTCATAGATGAGAAATTGCTTGACCTTGTGACTTACTGTGGCTTCAAAATTTCATCTAATATATACTACATTGTTTATGGAACAGGGTTCAGGAATCAAATGCTAAATGCAATTAAGGGTTTTTCAATGTCTAGACAGAATGGGCTATTTATTAATTCTTGTTTTGCTCACTGCCAAACTGAGAGGCAAGATACATGGTTTGCTGATGATTCTCCAGTTGTTAGAAATAAGGTAAGGACTAATTTTCTTCTTTCTTTCTTCTTTTCCGGTTATTTCCTTTGTTTTGGTTTCTTTATAGGACGTAGTGAGGGACCAAATCTCGGATTGGGATCTCAACAAGGGTTGGGTAGGTTGCATGTAATTAACTATATGAGATCCTGGAAGACATTAGGCGTAAGAGAAATTGCGAAATCTGTTTGTGAGAGTTAAGGTGGATATGGAATATTGATAGCTAGAGACCTGAGGGTAATGCATGATATTGTGGTGCCCTCTCCTCCCCCCATTGGGTCTTGGTTTAAGATTCTGTAAAAAACAACATGATTGGTTATCATTTGATTTCTAGGAAAGGAAAAGGTGAAACATAAGGCTTAGAAGGGAGCATTCATGTACTTCAACTTGGGGTTTTCTCAGGAATGTGAGATGGAGAAAGTTAGGCTCTCTGTTGTTAACTCTTAAGAAAAAAACCATTTTTTTCTGTTTCCTTAAGTTTTAAAAGTTTTGATTGCAGATGGAAGATTTCTTTTCAAAAACTCTCTTTTCTGTCATGAAAGCAAATGTAACAAATAAATATGCTACCAGATAAAAACCATAGAACCAAAGCTCTTAAATGAATGAACACGAATGGTGGATTGTAGATAGACTTGGAGAGGGATTCAAGGAAGTAAATAAAAATTTAAGTCTAACATGACGAGCAAGTAGACAAAATGTTTTTCAGTTCTGTTAAGAATGAAGAAAGCCAGGACGATAGGATGCCAAGAAAGAGGGAAGGAAACAGAGAGAGAGGGAATATAGAGAACTGACTAACATCTGTTAGAGCCTGTGCTATCTTTGCGGAATATGATGCAAGGTTGTTTCTGTTTGTTAATATGTTTCGGGACTCTCTTTGTTGCATTATAGGTCTGTTTGTATTTTATTGTTTATTGTATAGATTTTTGAAGAATTCCAAATCCTCACAATTTTGATCTGGCTATTTTTTTGGAAGCAAAAAAGTGGGAGACGGTTCAAACATTAACAATTGGCAATGTGCAGGCAATTGCAATAGCAGTTGGAGATTGGTATTTTGAGAGAACAGGAGTTAAGGTCATTGATTGCCCTTATCCATGTGACAAGACTTGCCACAATTTGGTTTTCAGATGATCTGGATTTTGTCATTTGCTTCATTTTTTATATGGGTCATCCTTGTATCATTAGCTATCTTTTATTGAAGGATTATAATTCAAAGATAATTTATATAGAGCAATAAGTATGAGTCTGCTGGGCACTCTAAATATGTGATCAGCAGGCCTTTTGCATTGATGTTGCAGGGTGATGGAAGTTGCAAATGCAATATTGGTGCTTTATTTATGATCCTTGTTTCTTGAATAGGCCAAGTTTCATACTTCATATACTGATACTTGGATGATTATTATCAACTTCCATAATTCATAATCGTATGTGCTGCCATTTGTTGTAATCGGCCTTAAATAATTATTATTTGAGCCCGCAAGCCTTCACATTAGGACTGCTTGGGGTGGGTGAAGTCAGTCCAGCTGCACTGTCCATGTTTCTGGCTGCAGGCCGCCTACTGTTATCACTTGGATTGGAAATAGAGTTGAAATCTGAATTTTGTTTGGGGTTTCTGTTTCTGCTTGTCTGGAAGAAATACAACTTTTATAGAACCCCACCTCCCCCTCCTCCCAAAAAAAAAGAATGAATGAAAGAAAAAGAAAAATTCATGGAAGGCAAACGATCCTTCTTAAATGGCATGCATTTAACAGCTTTTGTCACTTCACCTGCACTGGAAAATGTTACTGGTTTCACAAGACAACCTCAATTAAGACATGCATGTGCAGACAGGAAAGCTTGAAGACTTGGTTATTATGTGGGAGTTGAAATAGTTTTTCGAATCAAATCAATGTTGTTGAATCCGTTTCCAACAGGAAAAATGTTTCATCACCTTCCCACTGAGATTATTGTATATCTAATTAATCATCCATCTCCTTGCACACAATCTGAATGATCTTATCTAATATTTATTCCATCATTATGGCCCTCATCATGCGTGAAGTGTTGGTAATTTTTCTTATTGACATTACAGAGATTAATATATATTTAATTAATAAGGAAAAGCAAAAAGGTACCCGTATCTGCACCGTAACGTTCTTGCACAAACATGAGGAAGATGATAAAACCCGTCTCTAAAATCCAATCTATTACCTAAATGGTGTATCCAACAGCCGTTACTGCCTACCTCCAAATCAAATTCACTCTTACTCCTTGCTTTGAGGTCAATGTATTACGAGCCAGGCTGGTGAAGAAGATATTCTGGCCATGATAGGGTGGGGTTACTGAAGTTGGTGGCTTCCCAGTTAACATCACAAGAGGAGACCATAGAAATAGAATGATTATGGGCAGCCATTGTGATGGAAGGGACATAGTTGTGGAAAGGCCGGGAGTGAAATGCCCAACCAAATCTGATAGCCTGCAAGTGTTCTCCAGACAAACTCACACAGAGGGTAACCATTATTAATCTAGATATAATCTGCCCAGCCCATTTTGAAGCAGGACTCTTTTCTTTTGTAGAGGCCTTTACGTTCCCATGAACCTTTTGTTATATACTTGTATTAGTGTAGAATAAACTATTATTAAACTTAACGGATTGATTATCAGATGGTAAGGTTAAAGTATGTGAGATGGCTGGCATGGGGGACCAACAGGTCCATCTCCTGCAAACCAAAAAATCTTTGAATTATTATCCAACTTTGCAATAAAGAAATAAATATTTAATCATTCAATCATTATACTGGTGCCCAATGCTCATGTGGTGCACAGTCTGTGACACCCTGTTCCTTCTTTATTTTTTCCTTACGTTTTTTTGAAAAATTAATTTCAATTGATTTGGTTGCCAACAGTTTATCATTTCTTTCTTTTTCTTGTTCTGCCTTTTATTTTATTTTCTGCTCAACCATCGCCTACTTTAAGCTTCATCTCCATGGCTACTGATCTCACCCTACTTCCACTCTCTCCTGCTTCTGCACCCGATCAGGTACGTAAATCTATATCTTGACTTGTTTCTACTTTCTCAAATCATCATTGGTATTTTAGTTTCTCTTCATTTTGAATATAAAAATTCTATGCTCAATCATCAACCTCTTTTACAACATAAATAATGCTTTAATCTACTTAAGATTGGGTAGCAGCATCTCCTTTCCCTCCGCTAGTTTACTTTACATTTCTATTTATTATCTCTATGTTGTTTGAGATTAAGAGCGTGTGCCTTTCTTCTCATGGTGCTTATAGAATGAGTCAAGTAGGTGTGTTGGATGTTCAGTAAGGTACTGATGATTAATGAACTTGCTACAGTCCACTGACAACCAGGTGAACGAACGAGTTAACCAATTACCTACTTCTGATACAGACCAACACAAAACAGAGAACCAACTGGAGCCATCCATGGATGATTCTATCAACATCTCCCGCCTAAAGCTTAAAGAAGCTGAATCTTTATGCTCGTCCAACCAAGCTTTAGAGAATTCCACTGGAAAAAATGAACCCAAGGAAGCTGATCCAACTGAGTTAAAAGAGGATGCAACTGAACCTCCTCTTCCTACTCATCTTCCAGATAAAAAAGACAAGAAACTGAGTGCGGCGGATCATCTTACAATTGAAGATGAGAGCAGCTGCAAAAATGTCATGGAAAATAACGATAAACCCGCTTTCGCTGAAACCAATCAACATCCTGTGACTGCAGCTCCACTTGTTCAACCAGTTATGGAATCCACAGGTTCTGAGTTAGAAGTTAAAGACAAACAAAATTCAGAAGCCTGTGCAGATAAGTTGGCTACTCAGGAAATAATTGAAGGTGATGAGAGTAGTGCTGCAGAAGACAATAAGGAGGTGGAGAACGAAAACGAAGTTAAAGAAAAACAGAATTCAGAAGCCTCTGCAGATGTGTTGGTTACTCAGAAAACAATTGAAGGTGATGAGAGTAGTGTTGTAGAAGACATTAAGGAGGTGGAGAAAGAAAAAGAAGTTAAAGAAAAACAAGATTCAGAAACCTGTGCAGATGTGTTGGTTACTCAAACAATAGTTGAAAGTGATGAGAGTAGTGTTGTGGAAGACAAGGAGGAGGTGAAGGAGAAAGAAGTTGAAGAAAAACAAAATTCAGAAGCCTGTGCAGATGTGTTGGCTACTCAGAAAATAGTTGAAGTTGATGAGAGTCGTGTTGTAGAAGACAAGGAGGTGGAGAAGGAAAAAGAAATTAAAGAAAAACAAAGGTCAGAAGCATGTGCAGATGTGTTGGCTACTAAGAAAATAATTGAAGGTGATGAAAGTAGTGTTGTAGATGACAATAAGGAGGTGGAGAACGAAAAGGAAGTTAAAGAAAAACAAGATTCAGAGGCTTGTGCAGATGTGTTGGCTTCTCAGAAAGTAATTGAAGGTGATGAAAGTAGTGCTGTAGAAGACAATAAGGAGGTGGAGAACGAAAAAGAAGTTAAAGAAAAACAAAATTCAGAAGCGTGTGCTGATGCGCTGGTTACTCGGAAAATAATTGAAGGTGATGAGAGTAGTGCTGTAGAAGACAATAAGGAGGCGAAGAACGAAAACGATGATAAAACACCAGCTGCTCTACATGAAGATAAGGACGAAGTAGAAACTCTGGATCAGGTTGTCCTAGAAATTGTTTCTGAACCTATTAAAGAGTCTGAGAAGAAGGAGCCTGAGTCGACAGTCAAAGAAAAAGAAGCTGTTGAAGTCAGTGTCATGGAGCCGGCTACTCAAGTTACTGATAAAACAATTGAACCCTCTGCGGAAGACAAGAAAGAGGGAAATGGCATAAAAGACGATAAACCCACATTATCTGAAACGAGCAAGGACCCAACTATTATTGAACCACCTAAACAGTCAGACAAGGAGCCTGAGTTGAATGTATATGTATCGGCAGGGGAAGTTTCTAGTGAAAGAACTGAAGGCGGGAGTACTGTTGAAGATGTTGCACCAGACAAGAAGGAGATGAAAGATGAGAAACTGAATCTATCTGAAACCAACAGAGATGCAACTGTTACTGAACCGACTAAGGAGACAAAAGAGGAGGCTAAATTAGAAGTGAAAGAAAAAGAAAATATTGAAGCAAATTTAGATGAGGTGGGCGCCGAAGTTCCTAAAGGTGAGGAGAGTGGCGTGAAAGATTTTACAGAAGTCGAGGAGGCTGAAAACATAAAGGATTATGATAAACCAGCTCTGTCTGAGCAGGAAGAGAGCCTGATTCCCACTTCTAATGCACCCATTAAAGAGTCCCAAAAGGAAGCGGACGAGTTGGAAGTGAAAGAAAAAGAAAAGGTAGTAGCTGGTGTGGAGGAAAAGGAAACAGAGACTATAGATCGAGAAGGAAAAAGGGAATCCAAGAACATGGGAAGAGAAGGTGCAGCAAAGCAAAGTTCAAAGCAATCAAATAACATAATATCAAAGGTAAAACAGTCATTTGTGAAGGCTAAAAAAGCTATCATCGGGAAATCTTCCACCCCAAAAACAGTCTCCAATGAAACCAAGGGTGAAATTAAGGTGAAATAAATGGTATTTTCCTTGTCCAACTCTCGTATGCTATATTCTTTGAGTGTTTCTTGTTGGTGTTGCTTGTAAATAACCGTGGACGAGTGCTTTCAGTTCAGGAAAGACATGAATAGTTTTGTTACCGCGTGCAACTCAATAGTGTTGTTAATTTTGTAATTTTGTGCTGGCTGCAGCGTGTATTTCTGTCAAAATGGGATTGTATTTTCATGTTTGTATCATGGAGATGGATGATTAGCTTGTTTTCCTCTATCAATTTGCACCCATCAAAGGACAAAGTCACAAGAAGTGGGAGAGTATCGATTTGCACTCATAAGTTAAACTAATTAATATATAATGAACCAAACTGTTTCACTACTCCAAACCCAGTTCACATACTGCTTTAATAAATGAACAGTCTAACCATATTGGATACCAATCTACAAAAGAATATTATATATGTATAAGTAGGGATGATATGGATTGATAAAGCAAGTGGGCAGATGAGCAGGAGATCCAATACGCAAGGCCCTAGTATTCACATTCAATAATTAAATGGGCCGTAAGGATTTCATGTCAAGTGATTTCCTCATGACTCACGAGGTGAATGCATGATTTTCCCAACACTTCATTCCTTAATGCAATGAATTTGTACCAACATGAATTCAATCCTACTGTTTTTTATTTTTAAAATGAAAAACACAAATTGAATCTACGTATTAATCTATTACCACGTTTAAAAAAATTTGAAGGAAAAAAATAACTTCAGCTTGGATTCTGGGCAGATAGATATATTCGTATTCCACAAGCCGCCAGCTATGTGTGTGTGTGTGTATATATATATATATATTCTTATTACTGAAGTCGAAAAAAGTTTGGATTCGATTCTAATTGCCTTTTAACAGGTTCGCAATATTCTACAAACTTAAAATTAGGAAACACGTGGAAGGGCGGTTACGTCTACTACAGATATACATATATATTTTAAAAGATTTGCTGGTGGGTGTGGCTAATGTCACATGTCATTGCCAACTGGCTAAGTGTGTAATGTAGAGTGTAAAACGAGGACTCTCCCTTTCAATTATTTTTCTTAATACACACTTCGGAAATATGATTTGTTAATCTGGAACAGTAGCAGTAGAAGATTAAGTTTTTTCTTTTCCTGTGTGTGCAGCGTAGAATTTGGATAAGTAGAAGAAAGAGAACACGTGGCAGGTTCATCATCATCCTGAGCTGTACAATTTCATAATCATGACTTCCGACTGCTTTTTTTTTTTTTTTTTAAAAAAAGTTATAGAAATAGTTAAAATAAGAAAAATGAAAAGGGTCAGAATGGCAAAGAAGCAGGTGGGCGTTTGTATAAATAGCAGGTGTGTGGGAGTGGGAGTTACACAAGATTAAAGAGCAGAGAAGTTGAGCTGGTTTAGTAGAAGAAGAAAGATGGCAGATGATAACACAGCAACCTGCATAGATATCCTGGTGGCAATCCTCTTGCCTCCTCTTGGTGTCTTCCTCAAATATGGTTGCCAGGTACCCTTTCAATCAATCAATCAATCATCAATCAGTCTGAGTTGCAGATGGAGTTATTTTATTAATAATTGAGTTTGTGATATGTTGTTTCAGACGGAATTCTGGATCTGTTTGATATTGACGCTGTTCGGCTATCTGCCTGGAATCTTATATGCAGTCTATGTCATCACTAAGTGATCATGCTTCTCCATATCTTAAACCAGTAAGCACCCTCGTCTATTTCCTTAATAATTTCCTTTAAACACCCAACTAATCTTTTTTCTTTTAAAGTTATGAACAACTCTGCTTCTACCCAGAAGGTAATTTAAGATTATTTTGTGGTGATTAATTAGCAGAATGATTTTTAAGGCGAATACTTGTATGTTTTGTATGGAAACAGGTTGGTCGGAAGGGTATCAAAAGGGCATATGATGTAATTTGGTTGCGTAAAACAGGGCGAGCTGCTGGTTGTATTTGGTGTATTTCTCTTTTGTTGTTTAGAACTTGATTTGTTGTACTTATCTTCAGTGTCAGTCTGAAGGTTCATGTCCGTATTTGTTACAATATATTATTGTTATGATCAATTAGACTTGGGTTTGATTTGATTTGTTATGGAGCCCGGATTGATTTAGTGTTAGCTGGGAGAAAAAGACAGATGATTATTTGTGATTTCCTTTTCTATTATTAAATTCTATTGGACCAACTTGTTGTTTTGATTTGACTTGGCATCTTCCTCCTCTGTCTCGTTTCCCATTTTCCCCAAAATAAACTGATGAATTACAGAAAAAAAAAAAAAAAAAGAAATGTAATTTATACTGTCTATATATTTATCAGCAATCAAATTTCCTCTTTTCTCACACTCATTCCAACTTCACACGAATTAAAACCTCAAGAAATTCAATATTTTTAATTTTTTTCCGTCATCTTTTCTTCCCCGAAAGTTCCTCTTTTTTTACCAGACGGAATGAGTCGTCACCTCCGGCGTCTTCTTTCTTCTTCCTGGATAAGTTGAAAATTGTGAACCAAAGATTATCATTTCTTCTTTTTTGAAGAAAAAACCAAAAGAATATTGGAGAGGGTAGCAAATCAACTTAATCAATTTAACATCTTGAAAAATTACACTAGTCTGATTGATTCAATTAAACCAATTTGATAATGTAAAAAATGCGAGAGAAAATTCCACTTGGGGGAAAAGAAAAAGATTTCAGCAGAGCAAATGGGCAACCCAAACTTGGAAAAGAGAAGTTGACAATAATCATCCTTTAAACTGCCATTCTCTGCGGCACATGGGACAATGTGCTTGCGGTGTTTGTGAATTCACCCACTTCAAGATGCAATGAAGATGGAACGCATGGTTACATGCACCCCAAACTGCAAACAACGAATACATAATAAATATAGTCAACCCTTTGATTATACTTCCTCTCTACCAATTTCAAGCAAAATAGAACAAGTTACCATTTTTAGGAACCAAAAACAATTTTTCATACATGTAAGTCGATGCAAAGAAAAAACATAAGGTGAAGCAATCACTATGCAGTAAAAACCAGGCAAATAGTAGAAGCTCAATTTGCAAACCCAAATGAAGAAATTGGACCCAGAAAGAACGGGGCAGCTACCAAGAAGAAAAAATAAAAAAGTACTTCAAGACATGCCATGATCAGATCTGCGTGGTGCTAGAATAACTTTAGAATGAAAATTTAGCACAGAATACCAACGCCTAAATGTGGAGAAAACAATAAGCCATTGTAATACAAGAAGATTTAAAGAAGAAAGTTGATTTAAGTAATGTCAGAAACTTACTTAGTGGGCAATCATCCCCCGGGAGTTTGCAATCAGGACAACAACCATCAAATGCCATCCTACAAATTCCACATGATTCATCTTTGGCATCCCAAGTCCATGAACCAATAGCATGCCACCTATGGTTCCCACAACAGAGACCAGTAGTCACTCCTCAACATAATTGAAAGAGAAACGTAATAAATATTGTGCACTATTAATTCAATGATTCCCAAGAATCAAATGAAACAACCAAAACAAGTATACAAGAAGAAATTTAGGTCTTCAAAAGATCAACAATATGAAAATAATAGATTACCCGACAAACAAAATACTTTTAAAATCATATAAAAAGGTTCTTTGGAAAATATACAATAGTTTTCTTTTCTTTTGAAAAAAAAAATAACAAGATAGTATTTCATAAATTCTGGACATTGGACAAATGCACAAGAAAAGGAGAATATATCTCCCGTTACATAGAAAGAATTCAAGAGAAATGAGAAGATGACAGCATTGAGGAATTGAGGATTAATAAAACCTCCCTTTTCTTCAAGTGATAATAATAAATTCATGAATCTCAAATGACAGATAAATAAGAGATGAATAGAACATACTCTGATCAAATCCCGGAGCATTCGAATTGGTGGTGGGTCAAGTGAAAACTGTTCTGTTCAGAAGCTAGGAGCCTAAGACACTACTTAATTGTAGATTAACTTCTTGAGTTTTTCACTCTCTACATATTCATATGTTTATATAAATGTGCAAAGTTGTTGAAATACCTTTTTCTTACAGATAAAAAAACTGAATACATTGTTGATAAAATACAGTTTTTTTTTTTTGTTAATACATTTAGGTTTAGGTGCAAAGTTGTTGAAAAATCACCAATAAAAGGTGCTCTTTGCATCTTATATGTTGTACTGCTCTCCCTGTTGTCAGTTGAATGAAAAGGATTATTTCATTCCCTTTTTTCCTTTTCCTTTGTGATATATTTAAATGTTCATCATGTATCATTTCTTAAATCATGTGTACAAATATAATATGGAGTTCATAAGCATAACCGACAATCCCATTTATACTGACTAGACCAGGGCAATCATCAGACAATTGGCAATTGGAACACTTAGTGCTTAGTAAATTTGGATCAAACAAACAAATCGCATAATATATTCTAAAATCTATGATAATAAGGGAGGTAAGTTTCAAATATAAGAAAAGGGTAAATATCAAGAAAAGGATACGCAAGATCTTGACTTTCATCTTCTTTTCCTGCAGAAAGAAAAAACTGGTATTTTGGACCTGGATATCATGCAAGCACATAATCAAATAAATTACATATGCAATCTCATTAATACTCAATTCTATTCCAAACAAGAAAAACTTTCCATTTTAACAAGAGTAGCAACCATCTGTATCAAAAAATTTTAGTGCTTGCATGAAATCTAATTTTCCTTTTTTTGCAAATCAATACTTCCACGAGTCAAGTCATAGATTCTTTAGTAGCCATATTACCCTAGAACAGTCTCACTGCCTTCCATCTCTGCTAAAATCATTATCATCATCTGTTTAATGTTTAACAAAATTGTGACCAAATAAAATGATTTCCAGAGGTGCACTGGCTCAGTAATTATGCAACCAAAGAGAATGCAAGTAGTACTGGAACAATTTCAAAGAGATCAATCAGGTTACATTTGAGCACGCACAATTACATTACAGGTTATAATTCGACTACCCAGTCATTCATAAAGTCATAGGGATGAAACCTAAAGTTTAGCAAAGTAAAAAAGAGAAAAGTGGTTGCACAATCCTTTTGACATACTCAAACATCCAATCAAGAACAACTATTAGGAAGATCACCTTTAGTTCACGACATATAACAGTCTCAATGGTGATGCAGAGGCACTCCAAAAAATTCATTTAAGATTGAAAGGTGTCACCAATGTCCCATTTAAGGTGACATTAAGCACCAAATTACGCACGTCAAGTTCAAGAGATAAGAAGTTCAAAACATAGTAGTGGATTGAAAGGACTGAGTCACCCACCAACATCACAAGCTAATTTAATTTTGGCTTGCAAATATTCAAGCCATTAGATTACAAATTCTCAGTTCAAACAAACCCAATTTTGCATTAAACTGTCATCTATGCAAAATATAAGCAAGAACACAAAAGTTTGAGCTTATAATATCCTCTCCATAAGAGCATCAATCTCCATGGGTGGCCATGACATATGTTCATTGATTTTGACTAAAAATTTTCTATTTTAATTTACATGAAACTAGAAAATAACCAAAGAAAAAACAATAAAAAATAACCAAAGTAATAGACTAAAATTAATAAATTATAAATCTTCAAAAAGTATATCTATAACATGATGGGATTCTCTAATTTTAGCTCATGCTGTTTTTACCATTTTAACACCTAAGACCAGATTTTAATAGAGTAAATAAACCATGAATAGCAACTAATGGCAGTGTGCGATCAAGACAAAAATGAAACTAAACTTTCATAGCTAATAATCTCAATTAACTGCAAACCCATACACCAGCGCCACAAAGAGCTAAGTAGTGCAAAGCAGTACCAAAATGCAAAAAAAGAAAAGGATGGGACAGATTATCAACCAAACGATGTGAGACAACAAGCAACAGAAAACTAAACAGAAGGAAACGACCAACAAAGTGCCCAAAACAGACAATGGGAACCAAACTCCAATAAAAATTAACAAATAAATCAGCAAATGAATTTTACGCACATTCAAACGATAATATGAAATAAAGCTCCTTCATGTACAATAAAAACAGATTAAAAAGGATAAAAACAAAAGATGCATCAATCCAGACACTCATTTTCATCCCATACCAATGGAGTAGAGACATTAAGAAAAACTTCACATAACTTAATGCAGAAAATCTGACTAATTTAAAATTAACGAACTATAATTTTCCTTGATACCCTAAAATCAACATATAAAAGATGCATGGCACAGAAACTAGATCAGAGCAAACTAAACAACCAGAAAAACAAATCTTTGACTCTGACCCTTGTTGACAAAAAAGCAACACAATACTTTCGTTTGACATTTCATCCATGCTCATAAGAAGTTTGCAAACTCTAAGACCAAGTTCAAATCTTTATCTACAGGTATCTATTTTAGAACCAAAGAAAGAAAAAAAGGAATGTGATTATACCGCAGTTAATCCCTTTTTCCCTATTTCTTTAGAGTAGTCGAATAAGGTCCTCTATTCTCTCGTCACCTTTCTGCAAACTATACACCCTCTTTATGCTCTTCCATAAATCAATCCAAGGGAAGCCAAAAACTGCCACTTTTCCTTATCTTTTTTCCTCCCACTCTTTTTTTTTTTTTTTTTTTTTTTTTCCCTCTCTCTAAAAATCTCCTTGCTCGGTTAACACCCTTCAAAGCTCTCAAATCCCCTCTGCTCTCTCAATCCTTAAAACCCAGAAAAACTTTCTCCTTTTCCTCTCTACTTTCTCAATCGCCTCCCTCTATGCTCACTTTCTTTCGGCCCCTAATTTTTCCTCTCAACCACGTTCTGAGCCCTTTCTCTTCGTTCTCTCTCTTTCTCTCTCTCTCTCTCTCTCTGTCGCCCCCACCCCAACTCCACCCCAAATTTTCCCTTTGAAGCTCGTCTAAATCCGTCTTGTAGCCAATCTCTCTCGTCTTTTCCCGTAACGGTGCCTGGACCCTCCGATTTCGCACGAGAAGTTGTCCTTTCTGTCTCCTCTGCTTCTCTTGCTGGCACGCTCGGTTTCTGTCACACAACTGCTGTTTTCTGTACGCTTGTCTCTTCCTTCCAACCTACCCTCTCATCCTCATGCCTCCTCTCTGTGTCTCGAGACCAGAAGAAGGAAAGTGGCCCTCCCTACAACTGTTCGAAGGAAGAGAAAAGAATCTCCTTTAAACGGCATCGTTTTCTTGCCAAATGCGATTCTAACTTGGTTTGGGTCGAAATTTAACTTCTGGGCTTCAATTTGGGCTAGGATGAGATGAATGTGGAGCTTTCAATTCCGTTTAAGATCCTGGGCTTTGTTTTCTTGGGCCGAAAGATAGGTTTTCCTTTCCTTCTTTTTATTTTTTATATATATCTTTTTACAGGAGAGTATTTCTGATAAACTATTAAAAAATGCTTTATGTAATATATAAAAATATTCAAAATTTCCTATAAACTATATATATATATATATATATATATATTTTCATTCAAAGTCTCTTGATACCGTTTTATTTATTAATAGTCAAGGTTCTTTATCTCTATTCCATGCAGCTAACCCCGTTTAATTTATTAATAGTTATGAATATATAAATTTAATTAAAATATTCAAATTCCTCATATGATATATATAAATATTCAATATTTTTATAATTTATTTTTTTAAAAAAAATCATTTCTATTTTTTTAAAAAGTCAAAATTATATAATATCAAAATAGGGTCATTGCATTAGGTACCAAACACAGTCAGCCATCAAATAATCCTACTTTCACTCTTGTAATATACAAATTACTTATAGCATATGGAGTTTTCCACATATTAAAAAAAAATGGTGGTACATGTAAAAGACGAATGACACATTTTATTAATTTATTTAAAATATGCTAGCTCCAATTAAGACATATTCATAATCTAAATAATTAAATAGAACATACACCTATAAATTCATCATATTTTTCATATTCATTTTGTTTAAATAATAATAAAGTAGACATCTCTTATCAAGTTTATAAATTACTATACATGTCAATTAAACAAATAAGATTATAATTAAATTTTCTTACTCATAGTATGTATTAAAAATTTAAATTCACCGTAACATATACGTGTATACATTGAACATACAAAATATACATGTTTATTGAGAACTAAAATGTCCTTACTTGAGTTCTACAATCTATACAAGTCTTTTAATGTAAAACCATTCTATGCTTCCTCAATTATTTTTTCTTTCAAGATATACAAGGGAAAGACACTCACATGCATAAATATATCTTCAGAAAATAGTTATATATAGTCTTACATCTTTGTTTTATGTAAAGGTTATGCTTTAAACATAGATGGATTGGGTAGAATTGTTAGTAATTAGTCTAGTGGATTTGTTTTATTTTTTGAAAAAAAAAGAAAACAATATTGTAATTAGCGTAGTAGATATATTAGTCAAATGTATTTTATTCGAGAGCCAAGATAGATATTTTCTTCTTTTTTTCGTTTTTCATACGTGTTGTTATTATGTATTTTAAACATTTTTTCTACAAATATGATCTTTAATAATTTATTTTTAAAATAATTATTGATTATTTATTACAATTTTGTAAAAAAAAAAATCGTTTTAATATGAATAGAAAAAATAAAGCAATGAAACGTGATTATATATGATAATTAATTGTCTACTAAATGAATATAATTGGTTGTATGATCTTATCATATAGAGAGATATTATAATTTTAATAATTATGATTAATATTTTTCCATAAAGATAAAATTAAATACATTTAGACTCTAATAATCATATTTTACAAACTGCATATCAAATGAAACAATTAAATATTATGGAGTTTAGAAAAATTTATTACTTACATACACTTTGTATATATGTATATGTATATATATCATTATTAAGAAATCTTGAGCATGAAAAATTTATGTAATTAAATTTACTTTGACGACAATAGAGTTTTTGGAGCGTGAAGTTTTTGATAAAAATAAAAGATGAAAACATTAATATTGAGGGTGATCCCATATTTTTTTCATAAATAAAATTTATTTTACAAATTAGAAAATAAATATCTAGAGTAAAACATTAGAATAAATTCAAGAAAAAAATATCTATGTAGTTCTTGTATTTTTTTTAAAAAAATAATAAAAAATAAATAAAATAACGGGTAAGTATAGGAGATCAAAACATATACTAAAGTCAGATTTGCAAAGTGGTCGCCATAGTAGTAGAAGGTTAAGAAATAATATATGAGTGTGTGTGAGATAGGGAGGTGGGCATGGTTGCCATATGTGATTGATTTCAAGATATACATTGAGAAAGACACTCAGCATGCACAAACATATACAGAAAAAAATAGTTAATGCAATTTTGTGTCTTTGTTTTATACATAGTTTATGTTTTAAATGAACATGATGAGCAAAGTAGAATTATAACCAGTTGATACAGTGGATTTAAGTTTTAAGTATTTTTCCTGTACATTTGATCTTCAATTAATCTTCTTATATATATGTAATTATTGGTTATTTATTACAGCCTCTTCATGAAAGAAAAAATGTCAATTATGATATGCATAAATAAAAAAAAGCAGCGAAGTCGAATTGCCATATACTAATTAATTGTTTACTAAATATATATAATTAGTTGTGATAGAGAGAGATATATTATTATAAAATCCTGAGCTCTTTTAATTTATGTAGTTAAATTAAATTTGGCAACAATAGAGTTTTTGAAGCATCAAGTTTATAAAAGAAATTAAAAGATGAAAAAAAAAAGAAATTAAAAGATAACATATTTTCTCATAAATAAAATTTAATTTACAAATTAAAAAATAAATATCTAGAATGAAACATTATAGTAAATTTAAGAAAAAAGAATATACTTATATGGCTCTTGTATTTTCTCTTTTAAAAAATAAAAAAATTGTAGTAAGTAGGTGTAGGAGATCATGACAAATAATCAAGTCAGATTTGGAAGGTGGTTGCCATAATAGTAGATAGTTAAGAGATAATATTTGTGAGTATGTGTGAGATTAGGATGATGGGTATGGTTGTCATATATGATTGATTTCAAGTGTGAATGCAAGTTGGGGATAATAAAGGAGAGAGTAGATATATACATGCATTAATTTGAAGTATTAGCTTTTATTTAAAAGAGACAGATAGAATTGAATGAGTTTATATAGGTGCAACCTTGCAACAACTCATTAATTAAATTCTGTGAATTATATTACCTTTAATCACAAGATTTTTCAATATCTCATAATAAAGACATATCATTTCTAGAGATGGTTTGGGCGCTGCACTTGTAGTTTTAAAATGCACCACATCTAACCTCATATGGTATATTTTATTACATTATAATGTTCCACTCCCCATTCCTTTGCCAATAACTCTTCAACCTTTATCTCATTTTATAAATACCCCTCATGCTCTTTGGCTAGACACAACAAAACACCATGACTAGAAAGAAGGTTAAGCTTGCCTATATCACTAATGATTCTGCTAGGAAAGCCACTTTTAAGAAAAGGAAGAAAGGGCTGATGAAGAAAGTGAGTGAACTTAGCACTCTTTGCGATGTGAAAGCATGTGCAATCATTTTCAGCCCTTATGACTCACAACCAGAGGTTTGGCCTTCTCTTATTGGAGCCCAACGTGTGATTTCCGACTTTAAAAGGATGCCTGAGATGGAACAGAGCAAGAAGATGGTGAATCAAGAGAGCTTCTTACGCCAACAGATCACCAAGGCAACCGACCAACTGAAGAAACAACGCAAGGACAATCGGGAGAAGGAGATCACACATGTCATGTTCCAAAGCCTTATCGGGAAGCCACTCCACCAACTCAACATCATTGACCTCAATGATCTGGATTGGCTCATCGA